GGGTGGTGAGGGTTACTGGGGCGAGAAACGCAAAAGTAACGCAATAGTTACTTTTACTAGTAACTAGTTACTTTTATTGTGGAGTAACTCAGTTAGTAACTCAGTTACTTTTTGGGGGAAGTAACTAGTAACTATAACTAATTACTTTTTCAAAGTAACGTGCCCAACACTGCTACCCAGTGCTGGAATGGGTCCAGTCACCTGGTAATATTATAACGTACAGCATTGCAGCATCTGCATAGTTATGGTAACTTCTTTTGATTTTCATACTAATGTTAGTTAAATTATATAAACAACTATTCAAAATCTAAGATAGATTATAATTAAACTGTAGTAAACCAGATGGATAGGTGTAGCTTGATATGATTTCTACACATTATCTATCTGGAAAGCCTCCTTTTTGCGAAATGAAGAGACATTCAGTACAATTCGTTAAGCTGATTGGATAAATCACTAAGTGACACCTTCCTCCCATGTCAAGCTTTTTGCCAATCGCAGCAGCAGCTTTGATGTATCATATTCTTGATTTGTTTCAAAACTAGTGATGTTAACTTATATTTCAAACTCCTTTTACCAGTTCATCTTGCTTGGAAGGTAGGATTATAATAATACTGTTGAATATCTTAGTAGATGTTGAATAAGAGGGGCCATAGGATGGATCCTTGGGGAACGCCAAGTTTAACTACTGACACAGAAAAGTCCCTGTCCAAGTAGGATTAAAACTAGTCCAGTCCGGTTCCAGAAAGGCACAGCCAGTTTTTTTAGGTGCTCTAATAAAAGGGAGTGATCAACCATGTTGAACGCTGCACTAATTCAATAATTCCTCTGCCATGTGCAATTATGTGACACGCGAATGTCATAAAATAGAATAGAATAGAAAAGAAAATGTACTTAATGAATCCATTGCAGTAATCTGCAGTGCTATAAAGGCAAGAGAGACTGATACAAACACAAGACTCAATAATAATTAGCCATAAAAAACAATATTTAGACATAAATGATAAAAGTTTGATGTTTTAGTATCTATAGCTCTTAAATAAGAAGGCTAGTAAGTTAACTGTTTCTGTGCATGTTTACAGGAGTATAACCCTGAACATGTGTTCACAGTGCCTGGAAGCTCCTCATTTGTAGAATATATCCTACAGAAGGCAGCTGCTGTCCTGTTGTAAAAATTGGATTAGAGTGAAAAAGGGGTGCCCAAAGTTTTGCACCAATGATTCAGTGTAAAACAATTATTTTAATATGCTTTGTGACAGAATTTACTCAAATCAAAGGTTGGATTTCATTATTTTAAGGATAAGGTCAGTAAAAACATAAATGTATTTTACTGTTGAGCACTGTCTGTTGACTAAAACAACACTATATTTAATACAGCTTTCTAACAAGCTTAATAACATCACACAAAAGGTAATTTGGTTATATTTATTAAAATGTATATCATTACTTATAATGTTAATAATAATTATTAATTTTATCCTTATTTTGTCAAAGACTGTTGTTTTTCTTTGGTAATAATTAGTCCCGATTGCTTTTAGGTGACCGTTCTGGTCTGCTGGATGCACTGTCTGCCATTTTGCTGGTATGGCAGCAGTGTCAAACAAACCATTGAGGCCAGTGCACTGCAACTTTTTGCCCCACACGCCTAATTCTAATGTCTTAACTTCCAACTAGCAACAGGTCAAGCTCTGCTAAAGAGTTCAGGTGCCCCAGGCCTCAAGGACTGGAGTTTAACACCACTGTCTTATGGTATGCCCTGAGCAGCAGCTATTTACAAAGATGTATGGCCATTCAACTTTATTGATCTCACATTAGAGAAATTTTCCTCTGCATTTAACCCATCCCCTTTGGGAGCAGTGGGCTGCCATTGTGTGGCGCCCAGGGAGCAAGCGGGGATTAAGGGTCTTGCTCAGGGACCCATCTAGAAATATACATTTAGTTCTTCATAAAAGTATTTTTGTTTTGTTTTTTTATAAATAATAGTGAACATTTGCTTATTGCTCCCTCAAGGCCTCATTTTGACAAGGGTTACAACAAATTGCAACAGCCCTATACAGTAAATCAGTAAATCCTGTTCTCACAGAAAGTCACATCCTGCTGTGATTTCTGCTCTGCCATCATTTCCCTGTTATTAATCCTCACATTGTTAATTGTTAAAATGTTGTATGGAGCTTTGCAGAACATCTCTAACTTTACAAGATCGTTTTTAGTATAATTTCAGTTTTGTTCCCTGCCATATGTGCCTGCTTTTTAATAGCTGCTGATGCTGTGCTCTACAAGGGGAAGCAGATTGTGAAGCCCCATTAAAACAGTGCAGGAGGAGAAAACATCACACTTTGCTTGGTTGTGATCAGCAGCAAAAAAGCAAAAGAAACGCTGCCAGAAACGAACTCGGTGGGGTGCTCTTCGCAAGGCCACCTGGTGTGAGAAGTTAATGAATCAGACGATGCGTAACAACAAACAGCATAAACAGTTTCAGATCATATCTTTATCCGGCGCAGACAGTTTGTGTGGCATTTCTCCCATCTGCCAGGCTTTTCTGTGGGAGTTTGTTTCGTTGAAAAACAGAATGTAACATCTTTCCTTTTTACAGTAGTAAAATAACTTGGTTACCTGCCAAAGACCCAAATTTTAGTTATTATGTTGGTGCACTGATCCTATTGTTTTAATTAATCTTCTGGCTGTTAATACAGGTAGTGTGTCAGTATGTTTTTCCTCCCTATTTCCAACAATCATCTAAGAATGCTCCTGGAACTCATGTTTCTGTGCTTCTTCATTCATCCTCATCCTCAGACATCCTCATTCTGCACACGACCTGGATCCTGGGGGTTTGATTGATTGACTGAATTTATTTCACTCACCATCAAGAGTGATAGTTTAAACAATATGTACAAAAGGGGTCTCATTTATCAAGCCTGGAGACAAACAAAACAGGACTTGAAACTTGTGTACAACACAGATGGTGACTGAGGGGAGCTGAAGCCAGATTGCATCATCATTTCTCTCAGATATTTAATTTAACTCAATGTGAAACTTTAATCAAAGATAGATTTTTGGGCTGCAACTAACATCTATTTTGCAAATCAATTAATCTGCTGATTATTATTTCGATTAACTGATTAATAATTGGACAGCAAGAGGTTCCTTAATGAAGATTTTTTTACGAAAGTAAATCAAGTGTAACTGAATTTGTTCCACATGAGCAGTTCTGGATAGAGCATATTGACAGATGAAAAAGTTTTTTCTTTATCTTAATTGTAAAATGTTTATATATATATATATTTTTTTTTTTTTACAATTTTAATATATATTTACTGCTCTAAGTAGGTTGCTCTGTCAGCAAAAGGCACGTTTTAGTCTCCATACGCCAGTTAACGTTTAAACGATTAACGATTAAACGATTAATTACTTAATCAGTTCAAAAATCGGTTCAAAAATCGATTAATCCAATAAATTCTTTCAGCCCTAACTGACTTTATCAGATCCCAATCTGCAGTGTGATATATATATATATATANATATATATATATATATATATATATATATATATATATATATATATATTCACACTGACTGGTTCTGTCACAAACAGTAATAAAAAAGCCAGCTTAAATTCAAAATCAAAGTCTGCATATATTTAAATGCTTCCTCACCATTGCATTCCTACATATACGGTGATTTGTGAGGTTAGCGATACCCCAGATCAACATATAAAATATTAAAAGTGTAAGGAATTCACATGATATATTTTAAAACTTTAAGGTAGGGCAAATTGTACCGAAATCAGTGCTGAAGCCTTTACGGATGCATGCAGTCCAGAGTTTAAAAGAGCTTTTTAACTAACTACACTCCTCTCAGATGGTAAATACTTCCTTAGAAAATCAGTAAAACAAAACTGCATGTATGCCACAAAGCGTCTTATCTGTTAACAACAGAGGCTTCCTAATTATGTGTACCCTGATGCAAAAGAGACTATGGCCCAATCCCAAACCGCCTCCTGAACACTATCCCTTAACTATTGAGTGTTACTCCCTGTAAAATCACACTTAGAGCGGTGGAGGGTGCCTTGATTGAAGGTGGGGGGGCGAGGGATTAATGAGAATGGGACTGGCTCTTCCTTTCCATGGAAAAGGAAAACAGTTGTTTCCATGACAATGGTGTTACCCCCCCATGCATAGGCTGTGGCTCTGTGGTGCAGGTAGAGATGACATCAAAGATTTAATATAAGTGTATATAGTCAAATAAGTGTATATAGTCAAATAAAACAATTTCAAAGAGAAGCTTCCCTTTTGGAATTTGGAACATTATTTTTCCAAACTTGTGATTTTCTGCCAGTGACACCTGCTGGCAAATTCTACCAGGTTTGCAATGATGCAGACTCTTTATTTAAGGGCTAAAAGTTCCACCAGCCCTACCCACTACATGGTTTGGGACAGTCCTTACTCTGTTGGACCCTCCACTGAAATGCGCAAGCCGAGGGTTAGTGCTTAGCCGTAGTGGTTAGGGGCCAATGTGTTCCAAGTCTCATCACACCCCAAGGCTTGTTTATTTAATCCAGCTACAGGAACTGATGTCAGTAAAGCAGTTCACTGTGATTTCATGGTAAACTTCCCCTCAAAAACATCAGGAGGTGATTATTAAATATTTTAATAAAAATAATTGTCCTTTTTTTGTTAAGGATCATTTGACTGTTTTGGTTTAGATTATTTTTCTCTATTTTTCACAGAACGGAAATATCTTCTGCGCTCTGAAAACATGCCAACCAGTCACCTGCTCTTCGCCAGCTACCCTTCCAGATACCTGCTGTTTGGTGTGTAAAGGTAGCCAAAGGAATCCTTTAACATTAAAATGAGTAGGATTTTACTCCTGCAGCATCTCCGATCTATTAAAAAGATTTAATTGTTATAATGACATTTTTAATAGCATGCATAGTGTTGGAAAATATATATCCCATCTGAATAAATGTGGCTTCATCTTTTTTCCTCTCATAGACAATGGTAGCAGCGGCTCCTCATCCATTGAGGATGGAAACCATCAGTTGAACCGAGGCGTTGTAAGTCTAAATGTATTCCATTCAGCTTGACCTTTTTCATATTTTACCACCTCAAAAACATTTGCAACATACCCTTTTGGATAAGCCAGGTGACATCTGTTGATTGTTTGATTTTTATTTTAGGGTACCAGATTAAAGGGGGTAACATAGTGATGCCCTGCATACTTTATAGAGATCGATTGTTACTCTTTTTTTCCCCCAGCATTTTTATTGTCATTACACTGTCTCCAGTACAGAGCAATGAAATGAACTCTCATTTAACCCATCCTCTTGGGGAGCAGTGGGTTGTTTGCTCAGGGAGCCAGAGTGGCAGTCTGTGGGAGTGTGTGGGGCTTGAACTCAGAACCTCAGGATTCCAAGCATTAGGCCTTCCCAAAGCAAGCATTAGAGTGAACGGTCTTGCCTAAGGACCCACAGGGGCAGCTCTTTCCCCACAGCTGGGATGCAAACCCAGACTTGCTACTTGTGCTAGCCAGCCTCTAATCTACTACATTAAGTGGGTATGAAAACTTTAGCAAAGCATTTTTATGTGATGAAAGACAGTAAAAAGGTGTGTTTAGTTTCTCAGGTGAAATGCTACAAACAGCAGGTTCATTGTTTGGTTTCTTTATGAGGATCCTCTGTGTTTTCTGGTCAGTCTGTGCATTTTTTTTTCTTTCAAAGTGATGGATTGTATTCCTGTGATTAAAGATGAAGGGTTTCCTTTGTTTCCTTTAAGTTCCACAGACCACTTGGCACAAGAACTGCCCTTATTGGCTACGCTGTTTCATTTTACATTGCACTGAAATATTGGCAGCATTTCAGACATCTACAGCCAGCTTTTTTATGATTTAGAACATGATGCGATACTCCCGCAGCTATCAGGGGAAAAGCAAGGTGAGCCAATGGCTGAATCGATGAGTAACTGTTGTTTAATTGACAACAGAGGCATTCAGTCGACCAGTGCTCTGGAGAGCAGAGCAGGGTTAGGTCGGACCGGGCCACCCTGCACAGAGGTTCCTCCAGGGGCCTCAGCCTCAGCAGGCTCAACCTCAAAGGGGCCTCGGAGACGACAGTGAGGATTTTGCTGCAGAGGAAACACCAAAGAGGTGATTTTTATTTTTTTTTTGGTAAACAGAAAGGTAGTATACAGCTATTTAGATTTATTGGCATGTTCCTCACACGTTTCCGATGGTTTCCGTGTGTGCCTCACATGTTTCCTATTTATCTCAGTGTGTTTATACAACGGCAAGACATACTCTCATGGAGACATGTGGCATCCAGTTTTGGGGAAGGTCCTGGAATGCATCGTTTGCACTTGCATTGACGGCCTCCAGGACTGCAAACGCATCACATGTCCAAGCCATTACCCGTGTCAGCATCCAATGAAATCAGCAGGAAAATGCTGCAAGACTTGTCCTGGTAAAGAAGCGGGACCCACAGACATGATGGGCTGATTACAGTGGTACGATGCTGAGTCGATGGAAACATTTTATCCCCTCAACCTGTTTTTGTGTTTGTTTGTTTTCTCTCTGTAGAGAGCAAAGCTACAGTGAACCAGACCCAATGCTATCATGGGTATAAAAACAACCTCTTGGTGTATAAAGTAGAGCTATCTTTGAAAGTTGATTCTCCTAACACAGTTAGGATCATTGCTGCGGAAAGACAGAGTACAGCTGAGATTGAAGTGCAAGCCTGGAACACAGCAGAAGGTATTGTGACTAAACCTCAGCACAAGGAAGAAGAAAAATGCATTCAAAAACAAATTTTCTTTATTAAAACTTGCTTTTTTTTTATCTCTGAAAGTTAGAGGACAAGATTTCTAAAATGTTTATAAGATTAGGTTCTCATTCAAAATAATCAAATACTTTATGAGCAAAATAAAATTGTGTTTGGAAATGAAATGTAGGAAGTATTTAAAAAAAAAATTTAAGAACCTAGAAAACAATATCATCTTTATTAGTCTTGTGTTAAAAAGTAAAAAAAAGATGTTTTCAAAATTCTTCTTTTTTTAATTTTCTGATAAACTGTTTAAAAAACAATTTTGAATGTCCGAGAACGTATGTTCATTTTGAAATTTGATTTTAAATGATGATTTAATCAGAAAGATGGAAAAATAGAATGCAGAACTGGACTATTTTGGTTTATTGATTAATTGCTGTTAATCACACTATGAGAAATCAAAACTGGAGAAAACATGCACAGGGGTAAACTTTTGCAGGACTCCCTCCCCTATCAAATTCAGTCCAAAAGCAGATCACTGACTCTTCTTAAAATAACCTAAAATAAAATCTAAAGCATTTGTGGTTTAATGATCAATGGTCAGATTTCATAATTTAACAATGAGAAAGAGTAATGGAATTTATGGAGAGTCTCAAGACCTAAACCTCTACTGACCCAGAATCAAAAGTAGGGCTGTTTAAAAAAATCTATTTTGAATCGATTCCTTTGCATTTTTGCTAAATCGATTTCTAGGGAATGAGATCGATTAGTACGTGACATTCACATTCAAATGAGCAGGAAAGAAGGACTCAAGCCAGACAGCTGCAAATAAAGATAATAGGCTGACTGAAGACTTTAACAAATGGGGGCTGACCAGCAAACACCCTGTAGTTGTTACAGACGACGCTGCAAAAATGGTTTGTGCAGTGAAGATAATGCAGCTCGTGCTTGTCTGAGTGAGAGAGGCTTCACTTTTTCACTTTTCACAAACAAGTTTGCACTTATGAGACAGTTTTGTTCACATCTCAAGTTTAAACTATCTGATTTACAAGATTTAGAACTTTATTAATCAAAATTGAAACGATTCAGGACTTTGGCGAAAATACACAGCCATAATCAAAAGATCCCATCTCACATTTACCCAAAAAACATTCAAGCTCATGTAGTGTTGGCTAACAAACAAACAAGCTTAGGACAGAATTAACTAGATGGTGAAACAACATGATTGATTGATGGACTATATTGATCTCACAGTGGAGAAATGTACTTTTAACATCAGTTCAAATAGTCAAAAAGAGGAAGGAAAGAAGGAAAAGGTGAATGGGGAATATACAGTATATACACAGATACATTTTTTTTTCTTTTTAAGCAAAATGTTTCCATTTTATAAGTAATTCTTATAGACTTTAGGGGAAATATTTATTAAAGCAATACTTGATTTTTTTTTTCTAATTAAAAGCAAATTTTTTACACACTTTTTGTATTTTTAAATTGAATTGAAATAAAACTATATTTAAACTAGAGTGGGTCAAGATTCCCTAACAGAGATGCTATTTATACAATGGATGGCAGATGTTGCTGCTGTTTGGTTTTTACAACCTTAAATCACTTAAACTTTCCACCTGCTGCTTTAATTTCTACAGCAGATCCACATTAAAACAAGAGTCACAGGAGAATAGAGATAGATTTTTACACTTTAAGGTAGAACAAAAATAGTAATCTGCTCACAAGGCTTGACTTAAATCAAATGTCTGACACCTGCAAACTAGCTTTTAAGTTTAGGGGAATTTCTGCTTCGCTTTATTTTAGTAACTCTCTTCATTTAATAGATAAAAAGAAAACAAATCATCATTTATAAACTGCATTTTATAATAACATAAGTTATGTTTAGCTTTTTGGATTTGTATCTTCCATATAGAAGAAGTTAATACTTTGTTTAAACACAGTAAATGTCTTTGTGCAGGTAATTTACGAATAATTGAGATTGGAGACGTTCAAAGAAAAGACATCACAGATCATCCAGAAAATTACACTCTTCTTACCACTCTAGATGAAGGTATGTTGCTTTTGTTTTCATTTGTTTTTAGATTTTTTTTTATGCAATAATGTGCAAACTGGTGACACATGATGTTGACCCATCAGTCAGCTAACCCACCATCTGCACTCTGATGCTAACTGCAAGTAAAACTTAGGCTTTGACATTTTTATTATCATTCACTGGGTTGTAAAAGACAAATTTAAATAATCAGATGCATGTTAAATATATTTGATTGTTTTTAGACAAGAGTATAATAAAGATTGGCTCTCAGAGGAGAAAGTCCCAAATATAGTTTCAGTTAATCACGTACAGTACTGTCTGAACTTATTGATCATCCCAAAACTGGAAAGAAGTTACTTTTTCATTGAGGTAATGTAATGTCCAATGATGATGATAGGCTGGTTAATAATGTGACATTTCATAAGTTTGGAGTGTAGCGCACATAAACCTTCGAGTTTTATGCATGTTTCTAGATCGTCCAAGCTCCTGGATCCTCTTTTATGCTCTTTTCTCTTCAATTTCACCCAAATGCTTCCCAGAGAATTGTTAGGAATATTATTATTACAGGATTATAACAGGGTTCATTAGCAATTGGGATAATCAGGGGAAAGTTAATTGACATCTTTATTTTTTTTAATCTGCTGAAGTAAACACATTTAGATTATGATCCAAAACAGTGACACCTTTTCCTTTAACTGAAAGAATCCACCATAAAAAACTTGAAATGGTTAATGTACATATGGAATCTAAAAAGGTCAATCAGTATAATTGATCCTCCGCTGTAAGTAAAAGTAAAAATGAGGAACTTTCCACATATTCCTCCTTTAATTCACACTAGACCCCCCCTTGAGTTTTTGTTGACAAAAATCACAGTCTAGTCTCAGCAGTGAACACCGTTCCTGGTTTTTCTTCAGGATAATCAGTTGGCATGTAGATATTAGTTCTATTACCTTCTTTAATAAGTAGAGATTTTTTTCAGTTGTAAAAGTTAAACTAATTTATCTGACTATTGTTGTGGTCAAATCTTGGTTAGTAACAATTTACTTTTCCTAAGCTCTGATGATAATTCCATGTTATTTGAAAATCATGCTCTCTTCTCTTGTTTACCAATTTTAGCAGCAGAAAATAAGTGAAGAACATACTTTCAATCACATTATATTCAAAGACAGCAGAAAGAGCAAATCATTGATTCCAAAAACAGGCTCCTCATCACATGTCAGCTTGCATTAAAGAATGAATTAAAATATCTGTCAGCTTCATTTTTCCCACAGGAATTGATATGATATGTGCTAAAGGTTAAAATTAAAACTTACTTCAATGGTACTCAATGGTACTGCAATAAGTGATGCAGCAGATTCAGTTGCAATCTTTACCAGCAGGGCCAATAAAAATAAATATTCTGCCCCTATGTTTGAAGACATTTCCCACCAGGAAGGTTTCTCTATTTAAAATGTTTGAAATAGCTTTGAGTTCCAAGCTTTATAGAGTTTCCTGGATGAAAAACGAAACGTCCCTCAGACTTGGAAAACAAAGTCCAGTGGTTTGTTTTTTAACTTTTTACATTTTTTGGAATGACTATGACCTGGATGACTGAGAATGTCAATGTCAAATGTATTTATATAGCACTTAAAAATGGTATAAAACTGCACCAAAGTGCTTTACAGGAAAGACAACAACACCAATTAACAAAATCAATTAATCTTCACCAGCATTCTGCCCCTAAAAGACCAAACATATTTTTGTCTAGTAAATTCCAAAAATGGATGTTTTATGATCTGATGGTTTTGGCCCCATAAACCTTCATCATTTTGCCTCAGAGGGTATCTGTGGGATGAGGAAAACTTTAGAGGTTTTATATTTCATTCATTCATATCTGGTCCAGCTCAATCAGACTTATGAGAAAATCTATAACTGACTGAAAGATTAGATTGACTTCTTTTAAAGTTAATACTTTGTTTATGTTTTAATAAATGTGAAGGAGAAGGAGAAGCATATATAAAATTATCATTTCAAAATTTGTAAGAAACTACACCAAACTTCACCATTTTTTGCCTTCATATATTTTATTTAGTGACCTCATGTTTCTCATGTAGAAAAAAATTAGAAAAAGTTAAACCATTGCTTCATATTTCCTAAATCTACGTTGACAGATCTAAAATTCAAATGTATATGTGTTTTGGTTTTTCAGTGACATGGAAAAAATTTAAAGAGGTGGGAGGAAACCTCAGCAACACTTCTCAGACAACAATTTGTGAAAACGGCATTCGGGAGATAGTGACGTTCCTGAATCCAAGGCAAACGGAAGGCCTGTGCTCCCCGTAGGAACCACTCATGATATCCCTATTCATGCATGCGCATATACATTCAAGCTGCACTTCTTTATGTTTTTTTTTTGTTTGTTTGTTTTATTTATGCAAGTGGAAGTTCTTGCTCTTAATGTTTTTTGAACATCTTTCTTTGGGGGTAGTTATATCTTCAAAGACAACAGTGATAATGTTGTTGATCATTCTTTGTTGTTTACAATTCTAGTAATAAATTTAACATTATTATGTTTGCTAGGAAAGATTTAAAGCTGCAAATGTAATGATGAGGGGCAAACTGCACAAGCCAGTGACAGGTAAAAGGCCTCTTTACAGTCAATGAGTTTATTACTAATATAGGATATAAGGATAAGATTGAAAGGAGCCTGGCATTGTGCACTTAAATGTGATTTGTTTGAAGAGTGAGAAAAAAAAAAAAGGATTGGAGCAATTTTGGCAGATCATGATGGTTGTACTTTTGAGTCGTAAAGTATTGACACTTAGAGCTTTGGTGTGATAATTGGTGCCAGACCTGTTAAGACAGCCAACGCTGCGAATTGGAGGCTGTAAATTTGCTACCTCAATACTGCCCCCATTGGCCAGACTGTAAATGGCAAAAAGCCCCTTAAGAAATGTTCCTGCTAAAGCCTTTAAATGATGTCTCAGCCTCGACCTCATCAGGTGTGACATTCCACTTTGTTTTGACCGGTGGATGTTTTCTTGCATTTAAGTTTTGCAAGAATCAAAGTGTGTAGAATATGTAAAGACTTGGGTCTTCTATCAGAGGCCTGGGTAATTGTCATTTCTTCACTGCCTCTGTTCTTTACAGAGATCTTAAAAATATATATTTGTTCCTGAAGTCATTCGGTCACTCTTCTGGTTTTGACTTTGTAGCACTAAGGACTCCAGTACCACTGGCAGCACATGGGCCACAAGCTTTCTCTATATCTCTTTAAAGGGGCATAGTCACGTTATGTGATATATCAGTCGCTCACTCCAGTTGCAAACTGTTTCGTTTTCCTTCAAAAATAACCGCAAATAAAAAAGAAATTATTAGCTACTGTATTAATGGTTATTTTTGGGTTTCACGTTTTGCTTTTGCTCAGTTTTTTAGTAAATAAATCCCTTTGTTTATATTAACAAAAACATTGAGTGACTGGAGGTACGATACTGCGCATCTATGCAGGGAGTAAATGAAGAAGCAATATGGCCAAGCAAGTTAGCACTTCTCAGCGAAGTTGTGAAAATAAGGAAGAAAAGTTCTAAGTCTAGTGGGGAAAAAAACAAAAAAAATTTGATTCCAAGAGAGATAAGACTGAAATAGTGGCGGAAGCTGTAGAAGATGTGGAGGCATTAAAGAGTTAATTGATGCATGGGTAAATGTTGGTATTCATGCTGTTAGTAGTGATGCTATTCTTATATATGCATCCAAACGGAGCCGCCGCTTCTGGAGAGCAGCAATGAATACATTTCTGCTTCATGTTTCAGTGTGTTCATAAGAGCCTCATCTTTTTTTTTTATACTAGGTTCTTCTGTGACCTCGTATTTGTCCTTGCACTCTTGGAGTAATTTTGGTTGACTGAAAACTGGGTTGAGGGTTCGCTACTCATACATGTTTGCTCTGTTTGTGGATAATGGACGTTAATGCTATTGGAACCATTTCCAAATGATAACAAATCTTTAAGACGGTTTCTAGGTAAGTTATTTCTTTAATTTACAGTCAGTAAGAATTTGGGCATAAGACACCTGAACCAAGAAAATGTGGCAATAACACTTAATGTTATGGTTTTCCCCTTTGGAGTATGAGTTTTTATTTTTCAGTTATCTAAGTAAATCTGTTTTGTTGATCTTTGGTTTATTTTCCATTTTGTGTTATATTTAAGCAGTCTATAGTAAACTCTCTGTTGCCCCCTTGTGCCTGTCTCCTTTCCCCTGGCTCCCTTGTAGTCACTTCTATCCACACCTGCTCCATATCAGCTGATTACCCCAGTCTTTGTTCTGTCTCCCGTATATACTCTCCCTGTGTGGTTCTTCAGCACTGGTTCCTTGTTGTTACATGGATCTCCATGTGGTTTTTCTCCTGACATCTCCTGGTTTTTTGGGTTTAATTCTTAGATTTTGTTTCTGTTGCCCTTTGACTCCATTAAACCTGCAAGAACTCATCTCTGCATTTAGGTCCTCAACCAACCTCCACCCTCACGTTCACACCTAACTTATTTAACAAGGAGGACAATTTTAAGATAATGCATATTTAACTTGCATTCTTTATATGTAGTAAATCAAATCACCTGTTGAAAGCTTTTTTTCTTTTTTTTTTTGCTTTTACTTAATTGCCCGTCTTTTATATTAAAATCTGTTTAATGATCTGAAACTTTAAACCAAAACTGAAAAGTTAAAAATGAGGGGAATGTGTAAAGGAGAAATTATGTTTTAAATACACATGGAATAGAGAAAGGTGCAAGTCTGCTAAGGCCCATGTTTGGGATTCCCTTTAAAAGAGAGCTAGAGGCCAGGCTGGATTAGAGAAAACAAATCAGACTTGTTTTATAACTGACTTGTATAAATTGTGGACTGTTTTACTTTATATGTAATGATAACATCTTGAAAGTGTAATTTTGTATTATTTTTTTGGACTGAATTTTAAAGGAGGCATAATTTGTTCAGGATGTAAACAGTATATGAGAGGTTTTCTTGTTATCACCTTTAAATATGACCTGCAGTTCTGTCACCGTATTTATAGTATATTGTTTCCTGCCTGTTTTCTCTGTGTGTATTTTGACCATTGAAGGAGTTTTGTAATTTTTTTATAAAGTAGCTGTTAATTTTAGCTTTCAGAAAACACACAACTCCATAAAGGGTTTTTAGTGATGTACTGTTACTATTTTTATGTAGCAGAAAAATTTTAGTTATCTTCATACCATGAAAACTTCACATACCGTCACCAATCGTATTTTGCTTTGGACCTTGTTGATGTATTTGAATGTACTTTCTACGTCACTCAGCTACATCAAACTGTATAATGTTGCCTTTTGTTTTACACCATTAAAAACAATGTTTGACTGTTTATGGCTGTTTCTTGTTCCCATTGGAAATATGCGCTTCAAACAACATGGTGTTTATAGCTGAGCTAAAGGAGGAGTTGATGTTTCATCACAGCTGGGATTAATGGCCGCTGCAGGGAAGATCGAACAGCACTGATGCTTTAAGGTTTCTACTAAGTGAAGTTCTACAGATCCGGATAAGATGTGTTCTTGGAAAAAATCAAAAAAATGTTGTTACATTGAGACGAAATGCAAAAGCTAAAAAAAAACACACTTTACACTCAATGACACTCAAGGACTGAGTGTCCTTGCTTTGAACCTGTTTCTGATTTGTTTGAACTTTTTTTTTTGTCCAGGGTGAAGTTATTAGTAAGAACCTCAATAAATTTGAAACCTAAAACTACAATTACAATGTTACAGATATATATATATATATTTTTTTTCTTGTTTTAAACAATCAGGGATTTTGAGAGAAAACACAGAATTAAATATTGGCAGCTCTCCAGAAGGCTAATAACACAGAGCCTTCAGAAATGAGAATACACAGAGGAGAAAACATCAAATGTTGTTTCAACCTTAACCAGGCACACATGTAGGCAAGAGATTTCTGCAAGATTAGTATGAGAATTTTATATTTTGTATTACGTAGTTGAAATGACATTATTCTATTGCATTTTGTTTGGAAATTATATGATTGTCAAAAATATAAGATAAATAGAGCAGTGTTTAAATCTGGAGGCAGCATATTTTGATTGAACTGTAGCATTGGCTGAACGTTGTGGTTTGAAGAGTGATACATAACAATCATTAGCCAAAAACAAATATTAAACCCTGATGTTCAACAACTCAACATTCTCTGCCTTGAGATTAAACGCAGTGTCACCACAAACAGAATCCAGGACAGGATCGATCAGTCTGAGCTGCACTGGAAACAATCTGCTCCACCAAATCAGAAGTTCTGCAGTAATAAAGATCAGGTCTCTTTTCTTGTAGAGCTTGGAGAAACTGCAGATAAGGAATTATGGTTTTCCTCAGGGAATTTCTGAAAAATCCTGAATCTTAGATTTTAAAACCATGATCTTTTCATGTCATCTTTTCGTGTCTTTTCAACCAATTTTTGCTCAGTGGGTCAGTGTTGACCCGTGCATGGGAGCAGCATATTTCTGCACAGGGCAAAGCATCTGAAACAGTGAGAACTTTGGAAGCTCTAAAAGGGTTTTAATATTTTATTTGACAAAAAATAAGAAAATGCTCTTGTTTAATGAGCCAACTGATTGTCATGTATACACCTTCAGTCCTAATCAGTGACAGTTTAAGTTATTTCAAACTCTGGCACGTTTGCAATGAAAATTGGTCTCCTCAAGAATTTCTCATCCCATAAGCAGTTTAGAGAATATGCCCGTAAATCATACTGAAGTTAAAATGTTATTGTCTACCTCACTGCTTCTCAAAAGGAACTGAACTATTAATGATTTCTTTTTCCCTCCTAAAAAAGGGAGGAAGGTTATGATGCACCAGAGCAGTAATCTTTTTAAAAAAAATAATTAATAAAATCAGCTTCTTTTCACACATGAATGTAAACGAAGTCCTTGTAAAGATTTGATGATTAACCCAATATAAAAATTGGTCTGACACCCCTGTTTTTGATAATCCGCTTATATAATCTACTTTACATAATACAATAAATTATTAAATGCTCTATTTTGTAGTGATATAAACATAATGAAGGCTTCATGAATTTCTGGTTGTGTTTCAGTATTTCTGTTTAGTGTACAAAAGTTTAATTGTTTTGAACTTTGAACAAGAGACCATCAACTGTGACTCACATTTTTTTGCAGTTTTATCCACTTTGTATGCTTTTATCGAACACACAGCTCTACTTTATGGAATGATATTCCTTTTTCTTGGCTCCTGAGGGCCACAAATTACTGTGAAGGGCCTGATTCGTCCTTCTGGCGTTATGCTTGACACATGTGATCTAAAAGGTTAATTTAATTTAGATTAATGCCGCATGGCATTGACGCAACAACCAGCATTACTTCAAAAGATTGATGTCAGACCTGATTCTTAAGACAGCCGCAAAGCCTTTGTTACACTAATAAAAATCTGTGCATCTTAAATTATACTTATCGAGCCAACTTCATGTTGCAGAGTTTGTGTAATAAAATGAGCAGGAACGGATCACCGACATTAACTGCCATTTAAGAAGGTCGTTAGTTGTGTTTTTATCAAAACTTTGGCTGATAATAAAAAGAAATATGTGCACAAGAAATTGGATTAGTGAGCCAACACAAATGTGATATAAAAAGTGCATTTATAAAAGAATTTTATGAGATTTTTAAAGTTTTAAACATTGAACGCACCCCCATGCTGTTCTTTTTGCAAGAAGGAAAACTGTTAAATAAATGCTAAGCTGGATGTCAAATGCATAAACTAAAAACTCTGCGGATTAATAAAGTTTAATATTTATCCTATAAAGCCGAGAACACCATCATAATTCAAATCTCTCTCAGCTGGTTTGTTTTAAAGGCTTTTTCCCCCTGGTTTGTTTTACTTCAGTAAAGCTTTTATTATCTTTATTTTATGCAGAATGACTGGTTTGTCTCATGTGCTTCCAAAAAATTGAGGGGAACCTGTTTTAATTAAACACAGACCAACTGAAGTAGATAAAATCTATTAATTATGTCGGTGTTAACAGAAAGCATGTCCAGACCCCTAAATACCAGGAGTGTGGAGTGTGTTTGTGCTGGAGGCAGATCTCTGCAAGCAACAGCCGTCCTCTCCTCAGCTGCTCTGTATGCAGTCTTTCTGCAGGGCCTGCTTGATCAACAGGTGTCAAATTATAGCTATGGTTCCCATGACTCACTCACTGTACCTCTGCAGATTTAGTCCAGTGAGTGGGCTCTTCAAAAAATTGTTTCCCTTCTCTATGAACTCTCAACATGCTGTCCTTGCCCCCCCCCTTCTCCCTTCTAGACAATG